GTGTGTGTGTGAGTGAGTGAGTGTGTGAGTGTGTGTGTGTGTGCGTGAGTGAGTGAGTGAGTGAGTGAGTGTGTGAGCGTGTGAGTGAGTGAGTGAGTGAGTGTGTGTGAGAGTGTGTGAGTGAGTGAGTGAGAGAGTGTGTGAGTGAGTGAGTGAGTGTGAGTGAGTGAGTGTGAGAGCGTGTGAGTGAGTGAGTGTGTGAGTGAGTGAGAGCGTGAGTGAGCGAGAGCGTGTGAGTGAGTGAGTGAGAGTGAGTGTGAGTGAGAGCGTGAGTGAGTGAGTGAGTGTGTGTGTGAGTGAGCGAGAGCGTGTGAGTGAGTGAGTGAGAGTGAGTGTGAGTGAGAGCGTGAGTGAGTGAGTGAGTGTGTGTGTGAGTGAGCGAGAGCGTGTGAGTGAGTGAGTGAGAGTGAGTGTGAGTGAGAGCGTGAGTGAGTGAGTGAGTGTGTGTGTGAGTGAGCGAGAGCGTGTGAGTGAGTGAGTGAGAGTGAGTGTGTGAGCGTGTGTGCGAGTGTGCGTGTGAGGTGTGTGTGTGTGAGTGTGAGTGTGAGTGAGTGTGAGTGTGTGTGTGTGTGAGTGTGTGTGTGTGTGTGTGTGTGTGTGTGTGAGTGAGTGTTGTAACAGCTCTCTCCTCTTGCTGTGCTCCGTGGCTTCATCTGTGAGCTGAGCAAACACCTCCGTCAGGAACTTCTCATCCTCCTGAAACACACACAGCATTACTGCAGGAAAACACACTGAGACCGTCCACCTCAGAGCACTTACACCTCAGCTCAGCTTCACTCTAAACCGAAACATTTTCTCACGTTTGAGCTTCAAAATATCTGGATAACAGACATCGGTCAGCGTATTTCATGCTGCACAGTGTGTTTGGTGGCAAAGTAACACCTAGGGCCTTATGAAATCCGTTTTTTGTTTTCCCAAATTCCGTTTTAAATTCCGTAAATTTTCTCTGACTCTGTTTTAATGGTTAAATTAAAAATATTAATCAAAAAGCATGTCTAATTAACTGAAATCATGAAACTTACACAATTTAACAGTAATTTATTACCAAATTCTGTGTATTTCTATTTAATTTCCTGGATTCCATTTGAATGGTTTCATTAAATTTTTATTTTTTAGAGTATTAAATTCAGCGCTTTTATTTCCAACATGCGCTCATTCATGGCTGTATTATTTAATCCATGCAAAGTTACATCTTTATTGGGAGAGGACTTGACGGATTATTTTACGTGACTCAGTGAGTTCATCTCTATTTCTTAGAGACAAGCTGCATAAACTAGCTACATTTCAGGCTTTTATGTACCACATCTAATATGTGCATTAATGGCTGTTATGTTAAATAAAGTTGACTAATTACAGCAAAGCAAGTAGTATGCTTTGCCTATGCACGCTTGTCATCTCGCCTCCCCTCAGATGCTGTGCTGCAATGGCGATCCTGCGCGCAATTCTCAAAACACCCACAAGATGGCGGCGTTTATCGGTGAATCCAATATTACAAAACCGATAACCGACTATGGTAAAATGCTTAAATATCAGGAAAAATATCGAGTGTGTGAGTGAGTGAGTGTGTGAGTGAGTGAGTGAGTGAGTGAGTGTGTGAGTGAGTGAGTGTGTGTGAGAGCGTGTGAGTGAGTGAGAGCGTGTGAGAGTGTGTGTGAGAGTGTGAGTGAGTGTGAGTGTGTGAGTGAGAGTGTGAGTGAGTGAGAGTGTGTGAGTGAGTGTGTGTGAGTGAGTGAGTGTGTGAGAGTGTGAGTGAGTGTGTGAGTGAGTGAGTGTGTGAGTGAGTGAGAGCGTGTGAGTGAGTGAGTGAGTGAGTGAGAGCGTGTGAGTGAGTGAGTGAGTGAGTGAGAGCGTGTGAGTGAGTGAGTGAGTGAGTGAGAGCGTGTGAGTGAGTGAGTGAGTGAGTGAGAGCGTGTGAGTGAGTGAGTGAGTGAGTGAGAGCGTGTGAGTGAGTGAGTGAGTGAGTGAGAGCGTGTGAGTGAGTGAGTGAGTGAGTGAGAGCGTGTGAGTGAGTGAGTGAGTGAGTGAGAGCGTGTGAGTGAGTGAGTGAGTGAGTGAGAGCGTGTGAGTGAGTGAGTGAGTGAGTGAGTGAGTGTGTGAGTGAGTGAGTGAGAGCGTGTGAGTGAGTGAGTGAGTGAGTGAGAGCGTGTGAGTGAGTGAGTGAGTGTGTGAGTGAGAGCGTGTGAGTGAGTGAGTGAGAGTGTGTGAGTGAGTGTGTGTGAGTGTGAGTGTGTGAGAGAGAGAGTGTGTGTGTGTGTGTGTGAGTGAGAGTGTTGTACCAGCTCTCTCCTCTTGCTGTGCTCCGTGGCTTCATCTGTGAGCTGAGCAAACACCTCCGTCAGGAACTTCTCATCCTCCTGAAACACAGACAGCATTACTGCAGGAAAACACACTGAGACCGTCCACCTCAGAGCACTTACACCTCAGCTCAGCTTCACTCTAACCCGAAACATTTTCTCACGTTTGAGCTTCAAAATATCTGGATAACAGACATCGGTCAGCGTATTTCATGCTGCACAGTGTGTTTGGTGGCAAAGTAACACCTAGGGCCTTATGAAATCCGTTTTTTGTTTTCCCAAATTCCGTTTTAAATTCCGTAAATTTTCTCTGACTCTGTTTTAATGGTTAAATTAAAAATATTAATCAAAAAGCATGTCTAATTAACTGAAATCATGAAACTTACACAATTTAACAGTAATTTATTACCAAATTCTGTGTATTTCTATTTAATTTCCTGGATTCCATTTGAATGGTTTCATTAAATTTTTTTTTTTAGAGTATTAAATTCAGCGCTTTTATTTCCAACATGCGCTCATTCATGGCTGTATTATTTAATCCATGCAAAGTTACATCTTTATTGGGAGAGGACTTGACGGATTATTTTACGTGACTCAGTGAGTTCATCTCTATTTCTTAGAGACAAGCTGCATAAACTAGCTACATTTCAGGCTTTTATGTACCACATCTAATATGTGCATTAATGGCTGTTATGTTAAATAAAGTTTACTAATTACAGCAAAGCAAGTAGTATGCTTTGCCTATGCACGCCGTTGTTGTCATCTCGCCTCCCCTCAGATGCTGTGCTGCAATGGCGATCCTGCGCGCAATTCTCAAAACATCCACAAGATGGCGGCG